CCTGACCCCCCTGACCCCCCATTCCCCCCAGGTACATCCGCCCCTCGATGCTGCAGCACCTCCTGCGCCGCCTCGTCTTCGACGTCCCCATCCTCAACGAGTTCGCCAAGATGCCCCTCAAGGTGAGTCCCGGGGGGGTCCCTGCGCTTGTCCCCGTGCCCTGAGCCCCCCAGAGTGACCCCCCGTGTCCCCCCAGCTGCTGACCAACCACTACGAGCGCTGCTGGAGGTACTACTGCCTGCCCAGCGGGTGGCCCAACATGGGCGTCAGCTCCGAGGAGGAGCTGCACCTCACCAGGAAGCTCTTCTGGGGCATCTTCGACTCCCTGGCGCACAAGGTGGGGTCACGGGGGGTGACACACCTGGGGGGGACACACCTGGGGGGGACACACCTGGGTGTGGTGGTGGTGGTGGGAATGTGGGAATGGGGGTGAGGGGGATGTGGAGAGGTTGGGGTGGGGGGTGATGAGGATGTGGGGACAGTGGGGACATTGGGACATGGAGCTGGGGGTGATGGGGACATGGGAATGGAGATGGTGGGAATATGGGGATGGTGGCACTGGGGGCATGGGGATGGTGACACTGGGGGCATGGGTATGGTGGCACTGGAGACATGGAGATGGTGACACTGGGATCATGGACATGGGGATGGTGGCCCTGCTGCCACAGGGCTAGTGACACTGGGGACCATGGGGCTGATGGTTGTGGTGACACTGGTGCCACAGGGCTGGTGACACTGCGGGAACATGGGGCTGGTGACACTGGGGAACACGGGGCTGCTGGCTGTGGTGGCAGTGGTGACACAGGGCTGGTGACACTGGGGGAATATGGGGCTGGTCACAGGAATGATGACACTGGGGGAGCTGGGGCTGCTGGCTGTGGTGGCACAGGGCTGGTGACACTGGGGGAACACGGGGCTGGTGACACTGGGGGAACTGGGGCTGGTGGCTGTGGTGACACTGGGCTGGTGACACTGGGGGAACACGGGGTTGGTGGCTGTGGTGGCACTGGTGCCACAGGAATGATGACACTGGGGGAACTGGGGCTGCTGGCTGTGGTGGCACAAGGCTGGTGACACTGGGGACCACAGGGCTGGTGGCTGTAGTGGCACTGGTGCCACAAGGCTGGTGACACTGGGGGAACTGGGGCTGGTGGCTGTGGTGACACTGGGGGAACACGGGGCAGGTGGCACTGGTGACACTGGTGCCGCAAGGCTGGTGACACTGGGGACCATGGGGCTGGTGATTCTGGTGACACTGGTGCCACAGGGCTGGTGACACTGGGGGAACTGGGGCTGGTGGCTGTGGTGACACTGGGGGAACCAGGGCTGGTGACACTGGTGCCACAAGGCTGGTGACACTGGGGGAACACAGGGCTGGTGGCACTGGTGGCACAAGGCTGGTGACACTGGGGGAACATGGGGCTGGTGGCACTGGTGGCACTGGTGCCACAGGGCTGGTGACACTGGAGGAACCGGGGCTGGTGGCACTGGTGCCCCAGGGCTGGTGGCCCTGGTGCCACAGGAATGATGACACTGGGGGAACCGGGGCTGGTGGCACTGGTGACACCGGTGTCCCCGTGTCCCCCGTCCCCGCAGAAGTTCGAGGCCGAGCTCTACAAGCTGGCCATGCCGTGCCTCTGCGCCATCGCCGGCGCGCTCCCGCCCGACTACGTGGACGCCAGCTACTCGTCCCGCACCGAGAAGAAGGCCTCGGTGGACGCCGAGGGCAACTTCGACCCCAAACCCGTGGAGACCCTCAAGTAGGGCTCCCACAGACCCCTCCCCGTGCCAGCATGAGCCCCCCACCCCCTCTGTGCTCGTGGAGACCCCCAACCCCACCCAACGCCTCATGGAGAGCCCCCCACCCCCCCTCTGCCTCCACATCCAGAAACCTTTAACTTTGTCCATCCTCATCCTCATGGA